TGTCTCTCACCTGTTTGCCATCTGTCCCACACCTGTCTTCCATCTGTCCTCACCAGTCTTTCATCTGCCCCTCACCTGACCTCCTTCTGTCCCACAACTGACCTCCATCCCTTCCACACCTGACTTCCATCTGTTCTTTAGCTGTCCCTCAGCTGTCCTTCACCTTTTCTTCACTCGTCTTGTCTCCATTCTTTTTATTTTTGACACCTTCATGATGATTTTTTTTGTCCTACAGGTTCTGTTAAGATAAGCTTCACCTGTTTTTGTTGTTGTTCAGGTGAGTAAAACTGGAGCAGAAGGTTCTGTTTTAGATGAAGCGAAGAACATCAACAAGTCTCTTTCTGCTCTGGGGAACGTGATCTCTGCTTTAAGTGAAGGAACGGTGAGTGTCCACCGAGTGCTCAGAAAGATCAGGTGAAACTGGTTGGATTCTTCAGTGAAGGCTCTAGAATAGGGTCCAATGCGTCCGTTCAGTTCTGTTCTAGTTCTGATAAGAAGATCTCTGAGATTTTTTCAGATGCACTTTAGTCAACCCTGCACTGTCTTCTGGAACATTCACAGATGAAACTATGACTCAGAATAAAGATAAAAATGGTTCCAAATGTTCTTGATGACAGAAACCAGGAGTGTTTGATTAGACCCTTCAGTCCAGATAATGTGTTGTTGATCACATGTTCATGTTTCTGTCTGTAGAAAACCCATGTCCCTTACAGGGACAGTAAGATGACCAGAATTCTACAGGACTCTTTGGGAGGAAACTGTCGAACCACCATCATCATCTGCTGCTCGCCGTCTGTTTACAACGAGGCTGAAACCAAGTCTACCCTCATGTTCGGACAGAGGTAGAGTCCATCAGTCCTCTCTGATGGGTTGATGTATCAGCAGCTGTTTGTGATAGTAGGTAACTGATGAAGGCTGAGGGACAGATCAAGAACCAGAAGATAACGATGCCATGTCCTTCAGATGTCCATAGAGTTGTGCCCTGCGAGCTGGTTGAAGTGTTACATAGAGGAGTGGTTGTAGATCAGATCCTCAAAATGTAAATCTGTCAACTCGACTGTGAAACTGGATGAAAAGATAAACTCTGACTCTTCACTCAGATCGCTCTTGTGAAACTGAAGTCCTGTTCTATGTATTTCAGAGCTAAAACCATAAAGAACACAGTTTCTGTGAACCTGGAGCTGACTGCTGAGGAGTGGAAGAAGAAGTACGAGAAGGAGAAAGAAAAGAACCTCAGTCTAAGCGTTATGATCCAGAAACTGGAGAACGAGCTAAAGCGCTGGAGGAAAGGTCAGAAACATCTACAAGGGAGATTTTTGGTGGCGTGCTGCAACAAGTCCTGTTGTTTTGCAGGTTCTGCTCAGTGCTCTCCAACCAGAAGGATGGGAGGTGATGGTGGTACAGAACCAGCATCAGCATTAGAAGCAATGATTTACTGTACTATAACATGTACACGTGTACTGATACAAATATATCTGCTTGATTCTGAATACAGGAAAAAGTACATCCATCTGTCCATTCTTCCATCCATCCATCCATCCATCCATCCTTCTTCTATCCATCATCCATCCATCTATGTATCCATCCATCCATCCATCCATCCATCCATCCATCCATCCATCCATCCATTCATCATCCATTTATCTTATTCAACCATCATCCATCTTCCATCCTTCTTCTATCCATCATCCATCCATCTATGTATCCATCCATCCATCAATTCATCATCACCTATCTCCCATTCAACCATCATCCATAATACATTCCATTTTCCATCCATCTATGCATCCATCTATGCATCCATCCATCCATTCATCCATCCATCCATCCATCCATCATCCATCCATCCATCCATCCATCATCTATCCATCATCCATCCATCATCTGTCCATCCTCCATCCATCATCCATTCATCTATGTATACATTCATCTATCCATCCATTCATCATCCATCTATCTCCTATTCAACCATCATCCATCAGCCATTCCATCTTCCACTGGTCATCCGTCCATCTATGCATCCATCCATCCATCCATCCATCCATCCATCCATCCATCCATCCATCTATGCATCCATCCCTCCCTCCCTCCATCCCTCCCTCCCTCCCTCCCTCCCTCCCTCCAAAACCTTCTCTCCTGCTCTGATGAAGAGGATTCAGACCTGACTTGAGAACTGATGAGTGAAAGGAGTGAACTGAGCTTCTGTTCTTCATTAGGTGTTAAACAGTTTAGAGGGTTAGAGTCCTGACAAACATCTTCAGGTTCTGAAAAGCATCTATGTTTGCAAGAAGTTTTTTTAACTAACATTTAAATTTATATATTTGTTTTTTTATAGTAAACTTGAACGTTCGAGGTTTATTGTTGTGTTTGTTTGTTAGATCTACCAACTACTGGTGATCTTTGGTCTCTTCCGAACTTGTCCAGGTGAAGCTGTACCTGTGGAGGAGCAGCTGAGCAGAAGAAATATGAAGAGCAGCACTGAGACAGCAACTGTGATTGACAGCTTGGCCCCGCCCACTGTCCCTCTGTCTGAAGAGGAGAAGACTCAGTATGAGACCCTCATCACAAACCTGTACCAGCAGCTGGATGACAAGGTGCATCTCACCTGTAGCATCAGCAGGATGATGATGATGATGATGATGATGATGACATGCTGAAAAAAACTGCTGAATCATGTTTCAGGACGATGAGATCAACCTGCACAGTCAGACATCTGAGAAGCTCAAACAGCAGCTGACGGAGCAGGATGAGGTGAATCACCTGTCAGAGTCACGGTTCACCTGTACTCCACATCTGTCCTTACCTGGTCCCACCTGCCCTCATCTGTCTACCTGGTTTCCCCCGTCCTCACCTGTCCCCTTCCCTTGATCTAACCTGTCCTGTCCCGTCTTGTCCCGCTGCGCCCTACAGCTGCTGGCGTCCAGCCGTCATGACTACGAGCGTCTGCAGGAGGAACTGTCCCGCCTGCAGAGGGACGGGGACTCCGCCAAAGAGGAGGTGAAGGAGGTGCTACAAGCGCTGGAGGAGCTCGCCGTCAACTACGACCACAAGAGTCAAGAGGCAGAGAACAAGACTCGATGCAACGAGCAGCTGAACGAGGAGCTCGCACACAAAACTGTGAGTCCACAATTCACAAAGAAGGTCACATTTAAAAGCTCAACAATTTTTTAACCTTTAAATAGTTTTAAATGTAATAAATGAAGTGAAAAACAACAGTTAGAAGGAGACGGAACTGCAGTGGTGACGTCACATCCACACTGGATCTGGTCAACGAGAGGAATTGCATTTCCTGCGAAAATGCAGTTTGGATGCTTATTGCAGAAGAACTTGCTGAAAAACAGCTGGAATTAGCTAAAAGCATGATGAAATTTAGCTGACATGAAAGAACAAGCCTAAATTAACCTGTATAAATAAAGGTTGAATGAAAATTAGCAGAAGGAAGAAGAAAAAACATATTTGCTGAATCAGTTTTAAATGAGCACAAAATTAGGATCTCGGGTAAAAAAACAAAAACCCTGAAATTAGCAAGAAACCAGATGAAAAGTAGCTGAAAAGGCAGAAAGAAGCTTAACCTATCATAAGGAAGTGGAAAGAGCTGAAATGAGCTCAAAGAATGTGAAATTAGCTGAAAAATCTAAAATCAGCTAAAACAGCTAAATGATATCTGAAATAGCAGAAAAGGCTAAAACTAGCAGAAAAAAGCTGAAAGGAGCATAAGAAGCTGAAATTAGCAGAAAGAAGATAATTAGGCTGAAAGTAGCAGAAATTACCACAAAAACTTGAATTTATCTGAAAACAGCTGAAATTTGTTAAATAAACGCTAAAAAGGAAGCCAAAAAGGTAGAACAAGCTTCAATTACCAGAAGAAAGCAGAAATAACATATGTTTGCCCAGTTAGGCTGAAAGAAGCATAAATAAGCACAAAAAGTAGAAATTCTCTGAAAAAGGCTAAAATTAGCAAAGAACAGCTGAAAAGTAGCTAAAAAGCAGAAAGAAGCTGAAATTACTAGACGGAAGTGGAGAGAGGGCAGTTTTGCTGAATTAGGCTGAAAAAAGTTCAAATTAATGTAAAATGCTGGAATTAGCTGAAAAATCTAAAATTAGCATGAAACGGCTAAGTAGTAGCTGAAATAGCAGAAAATACTGAAATTTGCAGAAATCTTCTGAAAGGAGCATAACAAGCTGAAATTAGCAGATATAAGTTAGAAGCACAAAAATGTTGTAGTTAGCTGAAAGAATCTGAAAGGAACACAATACAGCTGAAAAAACCCCAGCTGAAATTAGCTGAAAGTAGCTGAATACTGTTTAAATTAGCACAAGGAAGCTGAAAGAAGCTGAAGCAGAACAAAATGTGAAAGGATCAGTAAAAGGTTGTAAACAGATCTAAAGATCTGAAGGGTGGAAAATGAACTCAATTAATTTTCCATGAGGGGAAAAATGGCAGAAAAGGCTAAATATTTCAAAAAGCTAAAGTTGCACCAATACCAAAAGTCACAGCAGGATTGCTCTGAAAGAGCTGAACGTTCTAATTTAGGACTTGCTGAAGTAGAACAAAAATGGTGGAACGAGAAAGATGCTGAAAAATGTACAGAAGAAAAATGGATCACATTGCGGAGTGAACGCTTCATTCACACAATAATGTTGCCATGGAAGGATGTTGGTTGAATTTCTTGTGTTGCTCTGTGGTTCCAGGCAGGTCTGGAGGCAGCTCAGCGGGAGCTCTCTGCCCTTCAGGACCTCAGCTCTCACCATAAGAAGAGGTCTGCAGAGATCCTCAATCTTCTGCTCAGAGACCTCAGTGAAGTTGGCGGCGTCCTCGGAACCACGGATCTCAAAGCTGTAAGACCTCTACTGCGCTCTTCTCTACAAAAACTCTTTCGTTAAACATCATGCTAGATCTGAAGAGATGCTTCTCACAACTTGTTGGAAGTAACAATCGTAGAAGGTGTTAAAAATGAACTCAGCTTCACAGTTTGATGTCCCTCTGAGGTCAGATGGCCGAGGTGAGTGGAGTGATGGAGGAGGAGTTCACCACCGCTCGTCTCTACGTCAGTAAAATGAAGTCTGAAGTCAAATCTCTGGTGAACCGCAGCAAACAGCTGGAGGTCGGCCTGACGGAGAACACCTGGAAGATGGAGGCCAACGAGCGGGAGCTGAGCAGCCACCAGCTGCTGGTCTCACAGGTAGAGTTGACAGATCGGAGCAGACCGTGGTCCCAACCACGTCGTGCGAGAAGGTTCAGAATTCAACCAGAAAGCTGCTTTTTAAAACTTGGCTTTTCCTTCTGTTTATTGTGCAGCTTCGGGCCAAGCTGGAGTCTCTGGCTGACGACCTGCAGAAGGTGGAGCAGAAGAAACGGCAGCTGGAGGAGAGTCAGGATGCTCTGATGGAGGAGATTGCCAAACTTCACGCTCAAGGTGCGTCTCGACTCGTGCACTCTGAGGACCACAAGCAACGATCAAGGCCCGCTGCCAAAAAGCAAAGGCAGACATTTATGTTTCTGCCTGTGTGGCTGCCACAGCTGTCCTTCAGAAACATCTGTAACTCAGAAAGTTTTGCAAATATGGTGTGATTGTAGCTGCCGATGTCACATCTGCCTGTTAGCAAAATATCTCAAACAGCATTGGATATACACTCAATAAGTAATCATTAGGGGTACATCTCCAACCAGTTAACTTTTGGAGTGAGTGCAATTCAAGATGGCTGCCACATCAACGTCAGCCGACACGGACATGAGGCGTCTCTGAGTGAGCTGCAGCTGCTTCAGTCTTCAGACACAGTTCGTGATGTTTGCACAGTTCAGACGAACGGCCCAGTCAGACAACTTGTTACTGGTGCACTACGTTACTGGTGACCAGTCCAGCAGCCCACGGGCCGCGTGTTGACCAGCCTGCTGCAGGGGCGGTCCCAAGCTCAAGGTGTTCTTTGTGTTTTCAGGTCAGATGCAGGAGCTGACTGTGATGGATAAAGAGAAGGAACACATGAGCAGACTGAAGGATGCTGTGGAGATGAAGGTAAACCCCAGCAGATTATCCAGGTTCCACATGTTCCACAGGGATCCTGATGATGAGTTCTTGAGGTCTGCAGGGATTCTGATGGTCTCATTCATGTGTCCCACCTCACAATCACCCCCCATCGCCCCCCCGGTCAGATCTCTGTTAGTGTTAAAAGCAGCTCAGATGAATCAGGTTCTCTGGCTAAGGCTTCACCCTGAACCTGAAGAGTCTGGACCTCAGAGGTTCTCATCAGTTCTGATGTTTCATCATCAGAAACAAACCGTCTTCAAAGCAAGTCTGTAAAGTTAAACTGCAGCTAACCTTGATTCAGAAAAATACCCTGCTGGTTCTCAATCGTCACCTTCATCATCATCGTCACCTTCATCATCATCACCTTCATCATCATGGAGAACCAGGCAGCAGTTTCAACCAACAGTCTTCTCGTTCTGTTCTGAACATGTGAGGTTCTGATGTATTTGAGCAGGAATCCTGAAGTGTTTCTGAAGTTGTTCTGGGTTCTGCAGAGAACGTTGGAGGAACAAATGGAAAACCACAGAGAAGTTCATCAGAAACAGCTGAGTCGACTCCGAGATGAGATCGAGCACAAACGGAGAGACTGTGACCACCTCAAAGAGTACGAGACGATAACTGACCTGTTCCTCTGTCTGGGGTTAAAACTTATCCTGATTATTACTTTAGTTTTTAATATTTTTGTATTAAAGTCTTCATATCTTTACTTTTATTGTTGCATTAAATGCACAATATATTGAGTTTGATTGTTGCATTAA